AGTGTTAGCTCTCAAAATTATTTTCAAGGCATTTTTCAAATCCCTCACTCAGACAAAAATATCAGACAGCAGACACTAAATCGGGATTCAACAGGCTTCCCCACAAATCCTGGCCAGGCTATTGGCTCTAAGCACACACACACGATTACATGTTCTGCCAAGCTGCCCATCAGAGGAACAGCATATTCAAACTGGCAACAATGAAAAGCAATCAATCAGCAGGCAAAGAGCTAAGTGTTTTGCCAGTGGTGCTTTTCTTTGTTGACCCGATACGCTGCTTTGTTGCATCTGAAATGGCACGCTGCACGGCGGGTGACAGGGCGCACCGCTGCTACTCTGGCGCTTCGGCGTCATGCTAGGGTCAGAGTGAACATGTACGATAGGGCATCCTTTGACATAAAGCCTCGCAATTAGGCAGCAAAATGCATCCTCTGAATGAATTCAAATTTAATTTGCCTGAAAGGAAGTGAGTGGCATAAAACATGCTGAATTAAAATTAGTGAGCGCTCACCCTGAGAAATGACTAAATCTGTGCTTTGTTTAATGCTTGCGTGATTGTAATGCTTTGCTTGCTTGTTTGTAATTTGACAATTTTATTATTTATTTATTTGTTTGTTTCTTGCCCTGTTTCCCTTTCTTTGCTTCACTTTAGTAGTTCCAGTTATTTTTACACCATTATAAAAAGGAGCGTACAAATGCGCTTTAGCTCCTGGTGGTGTTCTTTCGTCTCTCCTCTTGTCATCAGAATCTAAAGCTAACAATTTATTCATCCGAATAAATCTGTGATCTGTGAACTTTGTTTCTATCGCTTATTCGTTTCTCGCTATCTGTTAGTTTACTGAGTCACAAACCACATACACCCGCCTGATGATTTATTTCCACAGCAGAGCACATGATGTGTATTAATACACTTCTGAAAATAGGACCCAATAAATACCAGGCACTTTGTTTATTCCTTAAAACTGCAAGTCGCTTTACTTTTCCACAAAGCTTCTGGAACAGTGAAACTATGAATTTAAGACTGGTTTTAAGGCGCTTTTTGTTTTTTCACTAGTAACCAAGCCAGAGGACGGAGAAGACAAATCACAGGGGCCATATACTTTTCACACGCACAGATATGCACACATTTGTGTATTTTACAAATTCTACATGAAATAGTTTTGCCATTTTTTCCACTTTTAGCTGGTTTAGCTGGTACATTATGCAACTTTATTCACAATAGCGAATGGAGACATGAACTATTTGGACAAAAGTCTTTATTTTTTAATTCCGGTGTTTTCACATGCAGTGTCACAGGTGTGTAAAATCAAGGAGCCACCCATGCAGTCTGACTTTACAAACATTTGTGAAAGAAGGGGTTGTTCAAAAGCAGCGGTCCCCAACCTTTTTTGCGCCACGGACCGGCCTTTAAGGTGTCGCGGATAAATACAACAAAATAAAACCAGTACTGGTAACAAAAAAAAGAAGATTTATTCATAACACACGGGAAAGGACCCAGGGAAACCAAGTTAACGATAAAAATTATTAAAAAAAATAACGATTAAAAACCCTGAAAACCATAAATTTCACACCTGAGCCTCAACTCTCGCAGCCCGGTACCAAACGACTCACGGACCGGTACCGGGGATGGAGGCCGCTGTTCTAAAGAACTGACTGAATCTGAGTGTGGTACTGTAAGGGGATGCCACTGTTTTAACAAGTGAGTGTGTGAATTTTTTTCCCTTCTAAAATATTTTAAGTGTTATTGCAAAATCGAAATCCCAACAACTCAGCCACCAAGTAACAGATCACATAAAGTTAAAGAGTTCCAGACGTCCTCTGGCATTAACATCAGCACAAAATCTGTGTGCTGGGAGCTTCAAGGCATGGGTGGTACTCCCATAGGTGAAGGCAGCTTGTTTCCATATCATTTAACTTGAAAAATGAGACAAACAACAACTAAAAGCCTGTGGCTTTTCATCTTTATGAATAAGAATCGAAATCTGAGTGTCTGTAGTCGGCTCTGAGCTTCAACAGAGAGGAACAGTAGCTAACGTTAGCTTAAGTTTGCTTCATTTACAAAGGTGTCACTAACAAAAATGGGTTCTCTGAGGGTACACAGAGCGTAATAAGTATAATTAAATAAACAATTAATTTCAAAAGATGTGTGAAATGTT